TAATAGGTACATGTACAGTAGACTGGTAACAATCCAGTGGATTTGTAAATGTCTCAGAAATCACCATCTTTGTTATTTCAGGTCTACCAATAGTGTGGAGGCTTAGAAAAATGGAGAAAATCTTGACTTTTAACCCAGTTTTAAGAATTTGGTTCTCTAGTATTGGGAAATTGGTACCTTTTTTTTCCTATAAGAATCGGAGTCTTTCATCTCAGGTCATTGGTTCAAATTCCATTCTGCTCAGCAGTGATGAGAATTGGTCACCATCTGACTTCTGTTCAGTAGCCGTGTGACCCGAGCCAATAGCTGCCATCCTGCCCCTGCTGGCTTTAAATTTCAGGCTTGGGCCACTTGACATTCACCAGAGTCTAATGTGGTAGGTCAATACGTAATAGGGCTGGACACTAAACGTTTTATCTCCACCTGCAGGTGGTTGGTTTTGTCCCCATGTTACCACTGATGGGGAACTCTTTCACTTTAAAGAAGGAGAGACTGGATTTTAAATAAAATCTGTAAACAATAAGAAAATATACTCTGTGCATAGAAAGTACTTAATAGTCTCATGTAGTAAAGTACGGTCACCTTTTTTGATTGAGAGAATAAAAGTAGTTGAGTTCTTATTTTGATTTTGCCATAGAATTTAACCTAAAGAAATATTTCAGTTATGCTGTATACAGATACTTGGTTTGTAATGCCTCAGAACATGGGCGATAAATCATAGACTACTTATGCACTTCACTATCTTATTTTTTCACCTATTATTTGAGACTTCCTAGTTGGCCATCGATTTGGAGATGTATTCTGAATTTTTATATTAGGGATAACTGAAAGATTTAAAATTAAGCTATCATTTTGATAATTGCCTTAATTTTTACTTTACTGAATTTTTAAATTATGTTTATTCAGGTATTCAGTCAGCACACCACAATTATTAAGCTCTACTATGTGACAGGCAGTATGGTGTGTGCTAGGAATACTAATGCGTTCCCTTCTTACCCATAGCCCCCTAGATATCTGCCTGGGAACTTAAATTTCTTAAGCCTCAGTTTCCTCAGCTGGAAAATGGGGATAACAGTACCCCCTTTAAAGGTTTGTAATACTTAGTGATGAAAATATTTGTAAATTGCTGACAACACTTAGCAAATAATGTACTGAGTAGTATTTTTCTAATCCTCACCTAAGGATATATTTTTATTGATGAGAGAGAGAGAGAGAGAGATTGAGAGAAAGAAACATCAGTTTGAAAGAGAAACATCCATTGTGCCTCTTGTACACACTCCAACCAGGGATCGAACTTGAAACTGCAACCTTTTGGTGTGTGAGACCATGCTTCAACCAACCGAGCCACACTGGCCAGAGCTCAGTGGTATTTACTTTTACCTTTAATTACTCAAGCTCTCTGAGACAAAACACAGTGTAAAAAGTTCTGTCACAATATCAGTTTGTGTTAAAAGCATAGAAGCTGGAGAGACTGGCATCTTCTGGAAGGGTTAAAGAAGTCTTTGCAAAGCAAGGATCTCCTTTTTTCACATAGCCTTTATTGAGTGCCTACTACTTGTGTTCAATACATTAACTCATTTAACGCTGCAGCAACTCTGGCAGTTGGGTACTAATGTCTTGTATGAAGATGAGGACCCAGCTGAGGCTGGGATGGTTGCTTTAAGTGCAATCAGCCCACAAGGTGGAGGATGCAGGTCAGGAAAGAGCCCATGAATATGTCTGGAAAGACCTTAAAGAGTACAGTACATGGAGAAAGCTGTTCCCACATATCTTAAACCAGGGACCCAGTGCACGAATTCATGCACCTTGAAAGGAACTGTGGGTCACGAGGCTGCGGTGGGCACAGGGGCAGGTCTTGGCCCATCCTCTGTGCCCCCGCCATGGCCCCCGGTCCCCACTGCTGTTGCCTCTGCTCCCATGCATTGATGCTGATGGTGCAGAGCAATTGGGGCCGGCCCCAGCAGCGGGTGCGAGCAGCGGCTACTGCCCAGATAGCCCCTCAGGAGCAGGGGAAGGTGGAGAAGCCCTGAGGGGGGAATCAGGGCCAGCAGCCACCGCTCGCACCTGCTGACAGCACCCAGCAATCGGGGCCAGCGCCGGGAGCCGACAGCAGGTGTGAGCGGGGCCAGCGCCGGCAGCAGGTGCAAGCGCCGGGCAGGACCGTGGTACACAACAGCAGAGAATTTTCAGTAACCACCAGAGGCTCGCCCCAATGACAGCAACCAGTGTCCCGGCTTGGTCTGGCGCCCCTGCTTACCTGCTCCACCATCCCTCTGCAGCCAACACCCACCATGTTCCACGCTCTGCCGCCTACTGCCAATGCCCACCATGTTCCGCACATGCCCCCTGGTGGTCAGGGCTCGTCATAGCGACCTGTTGTTCAGTTGTTCTGCCATTCGTTCTATTTGCATATTAGAGTTATATATATATTAAAAGGCTAATACGCAAATGAACCAAACTGCGGAATGACCAGTCTCTATGATGCACACTGACCACCAGGGGGCAGACGCTCAACGCAGGAGCTGCCCCCTGGTGGTCAGTGAGCTCCCACAGGGGGAGCACTGCTAAGCCAAAAGCTGGGCTCATGGCTGGTGAGCACAGCAGTGGCAGTGGGAGCCTCTCCTGCCTTCATGGCAGTGCTAAGGACTCGACATCCCCCCAAGGGTCCCGGCCTGCGAGAGGGTGCAGGCCGGGATGAGGGACCCCCAACCTCCCCCCACCCCAGTGACGAATGTCATACACCGGGCCTCTAGTATTTACATATTAACATTCATCTATAATCTGCAGTGCAGTTTTTCTCATTAATACTTAATAGTTTAATATTTTATCAGAAACTCACATATCATCAAACATGTATGGATCCTCTCATCAGTGTGCCCAGCACTGCACCAGCTCCTTAATGATGGCCAGAAGTGAAATTATATGTCCCAGTCCATTTAGCAGTCCTCCATCTGGTAAAGAGACAGAAACATAACAGCTGCCCACTTGGGGGTATTTGCTATATGCCAGGCACTGTGACTGACCTCGTTAGCTACATCAGCTCTCTGAATCATCAGACTAACCCTTTGAGATAGGATTTTTTATCCCTGTTTTACAGATGAGGTTATGTAGCCTTAGAGAAGTTTGTAATTTGTCTGAACTCATACAATTAGAAAGTGTTGGACTTGACCCCACGTCTGTGACTCCAGAGCCTATAAATTGGTTTAATAGGATCTGATACTGCCACAACAAAACATTTTAAGAGCAAATACATCCTTAAAAAGAAGCATAAGTAAAGTAAAATCACCTAGAAGGAGAGAACAATTCTCAGACAAGTGTCGTTTGTTATGCGTATTGATGGATATTAAATGTGTGCCAGCTACAGCCAGCTCAGAAGGGCCACTCCCGACCTGGGAACAGCAAGAGTGGTTTCAACAAACTCGGCTCTTCAAAGAACAGGGGGAAATTGTTTTTGTTTCAAATAGCTCATGCTGGATTTTTCTAACAATAATCTGTATCTCCCTCAACAATTTCAAAATCAATAAACAAATATTATTTGAAAAAATTTAATGACTCTGACATTGTTGTCTTGACTTAACAACCCTTTAACATTTTCACAAGCAACTTATAATAGTTTGTAGCATGTGGAAAAATGGTATTATATTTATGAATACCATTAAGGAAGAGCCTGTTAAAAGAAAGATAAGCAATACCCAGTACTTCGGGGAAATTTTTTCCATTACCAGTAGTAATATTAAATTAGAATGGTGTTGGCAATATTCTATAACCTTAAACTTTTCTTACCATTTTATTTACCTAGCAATTCTACTTCTAGGAGCCTGTCCTGAGGAAATAGTATCCGATGTTTATCAGAGATGTTTGTTGTCAAAAATTGAAAACTTGAATGTCTGATTTTGTGGGAATGGTTGAATAACTTCTTTCCAACACAAAATGAAATATTGTGCAGCCTTTCAAATTGGCATTTATGAAGAGTATATTAGCTTGGAAAAACATGGGGTTACAAAAGTTGTCTCTGCAGCATAATGTCAACCATAAAGGGTAGGCAAAAAACTGGGAGGAAATGCACTAAAGTGTTACCATTGGTTTTGTTTGGTGATATGAGGGGGGTTGGGAGGATTGGGGTTTTCCTCGGATTTTCCATGGTTACTTCGATGGAAAAGAAAGTGAAACATCTAGCTTCCAAACAGCATATAGCAGACTGATGGTTGGGATCCCGAAGAAAGTGGAACAAAGGACCAAACGCAAGGTCTTGGAGCTGTGCTGCCAGGGTGGCCATCACCGCTGCCACCGCCAGGTGGTTCTGTTCTCCTCAGAGCGTGTCCTTGATGGAAGGCTCTGAGGATGAGTAGTCTTTTGTGCACCAAGAAAAATCCACCTTCAAGGGCATAGTAATTGCTTACACTTTATTTGATCATTTACACTGTTCAGTCGT